TGTCCAGAAGAAATGTAGATAATTGCAAAGGACTACAGCTACAGGTCACTATTGATACTTCCTTTTGTTTTTCATTCATTAGTGAAAATAATAAGACACTATGTTATATGAAAAAAAAGGTAATATGATCTTTTAAGCTTCAGAATAGAAGACAGCCATAAAATCAGCCACAGGTAAAATGAGAAGTAACATTTTAGATCCAGAAAGGCAAAGGTAGGATTGAAGTCAGAACCTTCCCATAAACTAAGTAGCAACACTTCAGCAGGGGCTCAGTATCCTCTTGCACATGCTGCCACTGCTGCTGTCACACGTTTTAGCTAACCCAGCAACAAAGCGGCAACAAAGGACCAAGGCAGACCCCCTTGTCAGAGAGGAAAAGACAGGGTGTGTGGTGGGTGGTGGTTGTTGTTGTTTTCCTCTGTGGTTGAGATTGGATTCTGACACATCCTGACATGAGAAAGCTTTGCCAAAACTACCTCAAGAAATGACAGCTCTCTGGAAAAGAGATGGTTCTCAAAGGTCCTGCATCAAGACTGATTTTCATGTGGTTGTTGTTGTTTTCCTCTGTGGTTGAAATTGGATTCTGACACATCCTGACATGAGAAAGCTTTGCCAAAACTACCTCAAGAAATGACAGCTCTCTGGAAAAGAGATGGTTCTCAAAGGTCCTGCATCAAGACTGATTTTCATGTTAAAACCTTGCTTTAATTTTAAAAAAAATGTCATATTGACTTTTTTTTTTCCCTGTATTGCAATCAGATGATGTGTGTGACGCAGGAAGGCTTCAGAATGAGTATTCTCATTTTATTTTAATTTTTAACTATTTTCACAAAATATTTTAGTAGACATGGCATGCTTAGTCTTTGAATCAAAGGTGGGAATTTTATATTGTTTCTATTTTTACAATCTATTTTTGGACAGATTATACCAGTAGTGTTTTTTATACTTCCGTGTACAATATAATTAAGTCCATACAGGATTCTAATGCTTGAAATCATAGTGTGTGTGACTTACAAGAATCCATATTGGTTTGTAAGAAAGATTTTGATTTACTTATCCATGAGCATGTTTTGAATGTCTCTTACTTCTTGCTTTTTGGAGGACTGTATTGCAATACAAACAGCCAGTTGATAAAATCATGCATTTGGCTTTAAACAGGCCAAATTTGTAACCAGTCTCCCCCCAAGATCTGTTTTGATCAATGTTATTGCCCACTAGATGTCACCATTTCCATGCAATAATGATATGAAAATGGATTCATTTGGAAACTTTAAGTAATAGTTGAGCACAAGCTATGTAGGTTCTAAGAGAATGGGTAAAAATCTCTCTGAATGCAAACTGGGTAGCAGCCGTGTAAAGAGATTTTTGGCTTCAGAATAGCTTGAGGGGATACAGTCCTCACAAGAAATCCTCAACAGCTAACTAGAAAAATGAATGCCTGCAACTATTGACAGGAGAACATACTGTTTTCCTTTCTAAAGTTTCAAAGCATGAGCTCACAGATGCATGGTGCAGTCAGTAGTATGAATTCTATTGTCCAAAACTCTGTAGAATAACAGCTGGGAGTTCTTAGAGTCTTTTCAGATCCACATTATAGGTGACCTCAATTTGTTGTTTAATAAAAAATAATATAAGCATAAACAGCAAGCTATCAAGTTTCTTCACATCTTTTCTTCTTTTTAGGATTTTGGGTTTCATAATAAAACAGTTATAAGGATTCTCATCGCTAGAAGTGAAATTGACTTGATGACCATAAGACAACGATACAAGGAGAGATATGGGAAATCACTTTTTCATGATATTAAAGTAAGTTGTTTCCACACATTTGCATGTATTCCACACAGGCTCTGTGTAGACTGTGCCAATCCCTATCAAAAATTACTGAGGGTTAATATCCAATCACTTGGTTAAAAAGGGAAAAGAAAAATAATCATGGTCATAGTCCATAACTTGTATCTCAGTAAGTGCCTCGGGCTGAGTTCAGTATGTGAATTCTCGACTCACTCACTGAACTCCCACATCTCAAATCATGTCATTCCACATGATTTTCTGCCTCCCAGTAGCATGAGGAAAAAATAAACAGAGCAGCATAGTGTATGCTGGGGAATATTTTGCATGAGTAGTTTGTGCACTAATTGGTAACATCATCTTTTATACAAGCTTACAAGGTTAGCCTGATATCATTTATTGTCAAACTGAGATCAAAATATGGTCAGCCTTCAGGAAAACTACTTTTCTTGTAGTGCATTTTCAGCCAAAACCCTTGCACTTTTAATTGTATAACAGGAATTCTTGATAGGACACTTAGCATTTTTTTTATGTTGCTATATTCTGACTTCCAGAAATAACTAATTATTTTGAGGAGATTGAACTTGAGAAGTGTTTAAATAGGTATTATCAAACTTTTAAAAGCTAAAACATTGCTAGGTGCCTGAGCAACCAATAACTGTGATACATGAAATGAAATAGTTGCAACCTAAAATCCGTGTGAAAATACTGCAGATATTTTACATAACCTTACCACAGTATCCTAATCCTTGTCATACACAAACAGGGGAAAATGAGGAGAAAAAAAGTCTCAAAAATATGTTTTTCTTGCAGCATTTTGCTTCTGGGCATTATGAGAGTGCCCTACTTGCCATCTGTGCTGGTGATGCTGAAGAATATTAAGCAAGACAACAACAAATTCTGAAGTCTATACAAATCCATTTTAAGGAGAAATTGAAGCTATAGAAAATCTGTAACTGTAAGCTATCCCTGTACTATAAGAAAAAAGTCCTGTGCATTTTCTAATTTTACATCTTCCTTGAAGTAGGAAAGGAATGCATAAAACAAAAAAAACAAAATCCTGTCAGGAACATTGTTTCATCTGTCTTTTCCGATTAAATCGTGTCTGTTTCTATGATTAAAGTAAACTAGTAAAACAATCGACAAGTAACTTAATCAAATATACATTTGTATGTTTATTATTCTGTCTTCGAACGTGCGATATATGAGATAGTAAAGATAGCCTCTTGAAGAACATACACTCTTCTCCATCAGAGAGAAAACTTATTTTTTCCCCCACACTTCTCATACCTCATCTTTTATGCTCTTGGACAGCATTATTTTAGTTACTGTCATAAGCATCTACCCCTATCTATTAACAGGCACTCACCTAAGAGTGGTTTTATATTCTCTTTCATTTAACATGCATATCTAATCTGTTTATTGCATTTATCTTTGTTTGTTTTAAACTGAAGGAAAAAAACAGAAACTGTTATCACAAATCATTCATGCTTTACTGTCGTGCCCTGAAAATTACTGGAAGATAAAACAGTGTATGTGGCTTTGAGAAATTCACCCTTCTAAACAATTAAACCTTAAAATATTATTTGCATGTAAATGTAAAGCTTTAATTGAATACTGACATACATGATGCCCAGGTATCTCTAGGATGCCTCTAATATACTTCCCGAGTTAAGATCTAACTTTGGCCCTAAATAATGTTTAAAAACATAATCCTAGAGAAAAAAAAAAAAAGTTTTGCGACAGCCTCTACTTGAATTAAGTGTAGCTTCCTGCTAGTCAGCTTGTGTAAAGGTGGCAGAACCTGATAAGGCCTCCTCCCAAAAGAAAACATCACCCTATAACTATCTCAAGAGGAAGCTTGGTCTATGCACACAGCCTGTTTGCACCTCCTGTCAGTCTCTTGTGTAGTTAGATTCTAAAGTAAGGAAAAATGTAGTAATTTTTACATTAAAACAGCTACCCTTTACTTTTTTTCCTAGAGCTATACAGGCTCCAGATTAACAGATTTGACTTGTACAACAAGCACCATGGCTTGGGGTAACGAGCTCAGAATGATTGAAGAGTGTGGTCACGGAACAGGCCAGTAACATGCTGGCTGCTGTGCTCTTTGCTGGGGCTGGGGAAGAGCTGTGTGTTTTCAGTGCACTGCTCTTTACAAACACCAAGTGCTGGTTTACAGTGAACTTCAAACTTTGATTGAGGATCCCTGAGTAATTTGACAGGTTGGACAAGAGCCACCACCGGGAGTTTAAGGCAGGGCTTCGGAAGGAAGGGGTGTGGGCTAAAGAGAAACGCAGAGCTAGGTCGCAGGTGGGACAAGCGCTGCCCGGATGTGCCCTTAGCTCGGCTTTATGGGGTCTTTTCCTGGCGGCCGCAGGGCGCCAGTTCCTCCTCCGCGCGCGGGGACTCCTAGCGGCGCAGGCGG